AATCCGTTTGCTGATGCCAATATTAAGTTTCTCACTCCGGATAGGTCCTTTTGTACTGAAACAGGTGAAAGCTCCCTTAGAACAGTTTCCCTTCAACTGATCTTTTATTCCATATGTATGTATCTGTAAGCACCTAAAGCCTACAACTCCATGTCATTTTTAGGCAGCATTACGAAGACTAGTTGTGTGATTTATGATAATCTATATATTAATGGGCTAACATAAATGTTTGGAGTGCAATGGGGTATAGTCATTGCGCTGGGTATGCAGTTACAGTTGCATGGCTATACTCAATCCCGAGTCTTGCGTCCTCGTTCGCGCACTCTGGGCAACGTGAGCAACCCATGTGCGAGATGCGGTAACCAATCCGAGTGGAGCCTTGGGTCACGGCAGAAAGAGAGGGAGCTTCGGTGGGGCCACTCTGACTTATTCGGTTTAAGGGCTCACTGAAGTCTGCAGCGTCTGTTCACCAGTAGGTGCGGCTGCAAGCGGGTGTCTGCTTGGAGCAAGCGGCTCGCTATATAAACGTGTATTTGGTTGCGAAACCACCCCCGTCCCAGCAATGGGTTGTGCGCTGGGCTTGGGACCCGCCACGTAAAAACCACTTCCAGTGAAGAAGCAAGGCAAAGCCTCGGATGAGACCCCCCCTTATGATGACGACCACGGCAAACGTTTAAAGGACTACGATTTGAGGGCATGCACCTGGAATGTCCGGACCCTTAATGGGGAAGGTGCCTCTGCCCGGCTGGTTGATGTCCTCGTAAGGACAAAAGCTGACATCACCGCCATCCAAGAAATGCGTTGGACGGGGCAAGGCAAAGAATGTCTGGGGCCTTGCGACGTCTACTACAGCTGCCATGTAAAGGAGCGCAAATTCGGAGTTGGATTTGTGGTGGGAGAGAGACTCCGTCGCCGAGTACTGTCGTTCACCCCGGTGGACGAGCGTCTAGCCACAATCCGCATCAAAGCGAGATTCTTCAACATCTCGCTCATCTGCGCCCATGCCCCGACGGAAGAGAAGGATGAGGCATCCAAGGATCTCTTCTATGAGCGCTTGGAGCGCACGTACGAGCGCTGCCCCCGTCATGATATCAAAATCGTGCTTGGCGACTTCAATGCCAGGGTGGGCAAGGAAGGGATCTTTGGAACCACCGTCGGAAAATTCAGCCTCCACGACGAAACGTCCGACAACGGATTGAGGCTGATCGACTTCGCCGGGGCCCGAAACATGGTAGTATGCAGTACTAGGTTCAAGCATAAAAAGATCCATCAAGCTACCTGGCTGTCTCCGGATCGAAAAACGAGAAACCAAATCGATCATGTTGTGATAGACGGAAGGCACGCTTCCAGTGTTTTAGACGTACGCACACTCCGAGGCCCAAACATCGACTCGGACCACTATCTTGTTGCAGCCAAGATACGCACCCGCCTCTGTGCAGCAAAAAATGTGCGCCCAAATATGCAAGGAAAGCTTAACGTCGAAAAGCTGCAATCACAACAGACAGCCAGCGCTTTCGCTACTCGACTCTCACACCTGCTCTCAGAGAGCACTCTTCAACAAACCGACATATGCGAGCAGTGGAACCACATTTCCCGCTCATTAAGTACCGCCGCCGAAGAAGTAGTCGGATTTCAGCGAGCCCGAAAGAACAACTGGTACGATGAGGAGTGTCAGGAAGCTGCAGAGAAAAAAGATGCCGCCTACAGGGCCACGCTGCGATCGGGCGCAACGCGCGCTATGTGGGACCGCTATAGGGATCTGAAGAGGGAAGCGAGACGTATTTGCCGCAACAAGAAGAGAGAGGCAGAAATACGTGAGTGCGAAGAGCTTGAAATGCTGGCCGACAGGAGGAATGCCCGAAAATTTTACCAGAGAGTTAGGTGACTTACGGAAGGTTTAAAGACCGGGGCGCACTCCTGTAAGAACAATAATGGCGACCTAGTAACTGATGTCCAGAGCGTACTTAAATTATGGAGGGAACACTTTTCCGCCCTACTAAATGGTAGCAGCACGGAAAGTTGTGGAGAAGAAGAACCCGAGCCCGCAGTCGATGATGACGGAGTCGACGTTCCACCGCCTGACTATGACGAGGTACGTATAGCAATAACGCGGCTGAAAAACAACAAAGCCGCTGGAGCTGACAGCCTGCCAGCTGAGCTATTCAAGTACGGCGGCGAGGAGTTGATAAGGTGCATGCATCAACTCTTGTGCAGAATATGGTCAGATGAACGCATGCCCGACGACTGGAATTTAAGTGTGCTCTGCCCAATCCACAAGAAAGGTGACCCCGCCATTCGCGCCAACTACCGCGGGATCAGCCTTCTAAGCATAGGTTACAAGGTCTTATCGAGCGTATTGTGTGAAAGACTGAAGCCCACCGTCAATGAACTGATTGGGCCTTATCAGTGTGGCTTTAGACCTGGCAAATCCACCATAGACCAGGTATTCACAATACGCCAAATCTTGGAAAAGACCCGCGAGAAAAGGATCGACACTCACCACCTATTTGTCGACTTTAAAGCCGCTTTTGACAGCACTAAAAGGAGTTGCCTATACGCCGCTATGTCTGAATTTGGCATCCCCTCAAAACTCATACGGCTGTGTAAAATGACGTTGAGCAATACCACCAGCTCCGTCAGAATTGGAAAAGACCTCTCCGAGCCGTTCGCCACAAAACGGGGTTTCAGACAGGGCGACTCCCTTTCATGTGACTTCTTTAATCTGATGTTGGAGAAGATAATAAGAGCTGCAGAACTGAACCGCTCAGGAACAATTTACTACAAGAGCGTGCAATTGCTGGCTTATGCCGATGACATCGACATCATCGGTAACAAAAACCGCGAAGTCTGTTCTGCCTTTTCCAAGTTGGATAGGGAAGCAAAGCGCATGGGTCTGGTGGTAAACGAGGACAAGACGAAGTATCTCCTGTCATCAAACAAACAGTCAGCACATTCGCGCCTTGGCACCCACGTCACTGTTGACAGTTACAATTTCGAGAAAGTAGAGAATTTCGTTTACTTGGGAACCAGCATTAACACCGATAATAATGTCAGCATTGAAATCCAACGTAGAATCACTCTTGCCAACAAGTGCTACTTTGGACTGAGTAGGCAATTCAGGAGTAAAGTCCTCTCTCGACGTACGAAAACCACGCTCTATAAGTCACTCATCATGCCCGTGCTGGTATATGGCGCAGAAGCATGGACAATGACAACATCCGATGAGGCGGCTCTTGGGGTGTTTGAGAGAAAGATTTTGCGGAAGATTTACGGTCCTTTACGCGTTGGCGACGGCGAGTACCGCAGACGATGGAACGATGAGCTGTATGAGCTTTACAACGATATGGACATAGTGCAGCGAATTAAAATACAGCGGCTCCGCTGGCTTGGTCATGTCGTTCGAATGGACACCGACGCTCCAGCTCTGAAAGTATTCAACTCGGAACCCGCTGGTGGTAGCAGAGGAAGAGGGAGGCCCCCACTGCGATGGAAAGATCAGGTGGAGAAGGACTTGGCTTCACTTGGCGTTTCCAATTGGCGTCAGTTGGCACAGAGGAGAAACGACTGGCGTGCTTTGCTGAACTCGGCCAAAATCGCTTAGGCGGTTACAGCGCCAAAAAAGAAGAAGAAGAAGAACATAAATGTTTGTTCGTTTTAGTTTGGCAGTGCTACGCGGCCGATTTTTGAATCAAAAACACTATTCGAAAGATATTTTTTTTGTGGAAGGCAAGAATATTAAGACAATCACGGTCACGAATTTAACGATGAGGAATACCAAGAGCAAAACGAATACGAATACGAATACGAATACAACGATTAACAGGAGAATAAAGAATACGAAGACAAATACGAAAACGTAGATTAAAACCAACCAAAGACGAATCCGCAGAAGAATACGAAGATAACTATGTAGCCGTATTTGACGTGCATACGACGCCGAGGAAGAATACGAGACGAACACGAATACGAACACAAATATGAAAACGAACACGGAGAAGAATTGGAATTCGAAGACGAAAATGAGGACGAACACCAACACGAATACGAAGAATATTGCGAAGATGAGTACGAAGATAAATGCGAAGGCTTACAAGGACACACAAACGAATACGAAGAATAACCGAAGACGAATACGAAGACCAGCACGAATATGAATACGAACACGAACACGAAAACGAAAACGAATACGTAGACGAATTTGAATTCAAAGACGAAAACGAGGACAATTGCAACACGAATACGAAGAATATTGCGAAGATGACTACGAAGACAAATGCGAAGGCCAAGACGAACACAAAGACGGAAAGAAATAGGAACACAAAAACGAATACGAAGATAACCCAAGACGAATACAAATACAAGGACGAATACGAAGACAAAGACCGTTTTAGATTATTCCTTTTTTTATCATAAGGGGAGTCCCATACTAATTTGGTTTAATTCCGATCATTGTGTCATGAAGAAATTAACGATACTACTAAATTTGTATATTAGAACTGAAGTCGATTGTATTGTTTGCTTGAAAATTAATTGTTTATTTTTTGTTTCTGTTTTGGGTTTTGTAATATGCTTTCACATTTTGTTTTGTTTTGTGTTTTTTTTTTTGTTTCTGCTTCTGGAGAGTTTTTGTGGTTTCAAAATTGGTTGAAAAATGCGTCAGGCTCTCGTCATTTGTCTGATTATCAAAAAGTTTTTACAAAAAAAAGGTTGCTTATATCGAAAATGACAGCCGTTAAACTTTAAGGTAAATAACTGGCACTTCTTGTTGTTATTAAATAATCAAGCTAGCCTTACATAGCACTGTTTTTAGAAAGTATTAAAAAAACGAAGCTAGTATCTACATAGAAAGTAAGCGAAATAAAGTTTCTGATTTCATTAGTAACACACCACTTCGTTGCCAATAGACTATCCTGCAGGGCTATTGCAAAAATATTTGTAGATGTTCTAGATATGTATGTTTGCATCTCAAGCATGAATGAAGGTCGTTTAGCATATATTACCTTCGGTGTCATCAAACCCAAGCGTACACCCTGCATCAGCTGTGCAACATATTGCTTTCGATTTTCTGGGTCGCGATCGATCCACTTGATGCACAACTTCCATACATGGTCCTCCTCACGTGTATTCAGCTCATCGTCGCTAATGATATCATAGAAATCCTTTAAACCGATTTCGAGTATATCCTTATTTTTAGCGGCAACCACAATGAAGTAGCGCAGCAGATAGTTACGCGCTTTGGCATATAAATCATCAAGAAAGCGAAATCTATACAACGTCAAATGCAGCGTCGGGGATTAATAAGAGATTTATTTATGTATGTACATACGTTGATGTATGCATAAGTTATAGTATGTAAGGTAGTTAACAATAAAAAAAATGCCCAATCATTTGTTTATAAGCGTATGCACATATGTGTGTATGTAAGCATGCAATGCAATCATCCATCCGCATCACAAATATGTATGTACATTTGCGCGCTCTTCAAATATGTGCCAAGTGCATTAAGTACCAATTACTTTCACTTCCAATGCAATGCAAACCATACCCGCATGCACTACATACATACATATCTACTTACGTACGAGTATCTTTATACATACATATATGTATGTACGTGTACAACTTACTTTGCGAATCCCATTATGCTCACACAATTCTCAGGCGTTAACATTGTAGCGAGTTGTTGCTTGCACTGCGTCACCAGTCCCATCATACCCACATAATCGGCCGATATGAGTAGTTCATGTACATTGTCCGCATTGATGGTGCACTTGCGCAGGTAAGCATACTGAATCAATTGCTCCATAATTGCTCCACTCATGCCTGGTATGTATACTGACCGATTCTCGTCACTTTTCTCTGGTGATGATGATGAATTGAAGCCGGTGAATTGCGCTCTTAAAAATTGAGGAAAAATATTAAAAAAAAAAAAGTCTATTCAATATGCTGTACTGAGATATTTTCTGCCTTAAAATAATTCAAATTGAGAAAGGGTTCTATGAAATGGTGTATTAACTAAAAGAAAGTATGCATTCCTATTTTTAAAGGAAACTCACAGGAAGGAGGAGGTTCTGGATCTGTCGGAAAATCTTCCCACAGTTTAGGTTAGGTTAATCTTACCGGCACTGAGCCACACATACACCGATAGGTCCTTAGCGTTGCCAGTTTGAGTTCCATTTTAGGCGTTAAAATAGACATCAGAAAGCATGCCAACGCTTTTTAACCAATTTCAGCTCTACTATTGGGATGTCTTCTAACTTCTCGAACTGAAAGGCTCCTAAGCATTTTAGTCGTGTTTTTGAAAGTGCGGATATTGGCATAGAACATGCTCTAAGGTTTCTTTTTTCTCCCGATAATGAAGACACTTCCTGCACCTGCCCACCTATTCTTTGTGCATGAGCAGCCACCAGGATATGTCCCGTAAGCTATTCGGTAGCAACTCTGCAATCTTTTGTCGACAACCGCAACAAGAGTCGAGTATGGTTTGTCTGCCTCGGAGCCTTATAGCTTCTTGTGAAGAGTATCAGGTCCGTTTTGTTTAAGATTACCCCTAGCCCCGCTCGAGATGCGTACTGGCTAATCACTTTCCGGACACTGTTCATTACGTTACTGATAGTGTCTATGTAGGTGCTTCCCTGTTACTACTACGGCTATCTTGTCTGCATACGCCACCAGTATGTCTGCTTTTCCCTCGAATTCTTTTAGTAATTTGTTGACCGCTAATAGCCATAATAGTGGTGAGAGTACACCACCTTGCGGTGTGTCTCTGCATGCCCGCCTGTTTACCCTAGCGCCGTTGCACTACGCTCTTATTTTCCTGTGACTTTAAAGGCTTTTAATCCACAAAGGATTGGTGGTTCGAAAAAATAGTGTCGCACTTATGGGTCTTTATAAGTTTGAGAAAAATTGGTTGCTCTTGCCTGCCTTGTGTATAAAAACAGGCCTCGCTTCTCTCCACAATCCCGGCACATAGCCCAGCCTCAAACGAACCAAAAAACTCAGCCATGGTAACACCAGGTTACTACCCTTCTGGAGCAACGCAGGGAATATTTCGTCTAATCCCGGGGCTTTGACGGGATGCTATTCGCTATACCAAGTCCACGCATTCTGGAAAGTGCAAATTCACCAGGACTTCTAGCGACTCCGCGCAGGAATTATGTAGTTTATACCCGCAACTTTTACGTATAAGGCTAGGCGAACTCGGATTCGGTTTAATTATCAAATTATCACTGAAGTCCCACCACGATTTGTTTTTTGCCTTTCGCACTACTCGATTATATAATTTAAGTAAGTCCTTGTATTCACCCCAGCAAACTTCATTATCGCCTGCTTTGGCAAATTTGAAGCTTTCGCATTTTTGTGATCCCAACTCGTTATAACACCATTAGATCCACGCTTATATCCCCCAAAGTTGGGCTAAAGCGGAATTCTGGCACTTATTTTAGTGACCGACACTCATCGGTGTTAAATTTCGATAACTCAAAACACCGTCTTCCACCAGAGGGCATTTTTTTTATCCCATATCAATGGATGCTTGATTTTGACATTGATGAGTTTTTTTTCGAGGCGACTGGATATCTATGGGGTCCGTGAAGCGCACGGAATATAACAACTTCTAGTACGAAATTTCCAGTTACCAATCCGGATGAAGGGATCAATAAGACCTTAGGCAAGCTCAAGATCAAGCTGAACCCTAAGGCATACGATTCGATGACGCGGACCGTTAAGAACCTGGATCTTTTAGAGGTCTCCTTTGACAACTTCCTCCTGTTTAAGGAGATCTTATGTCTAGAACCACTAAGATGTCACTAATAATTAGACGATGTTAATTCGGATTCATCGTTTTAGTTCAGAACTTTTCTTCCGATGAACACCGCCTTTAAGGATTGTTTTCTTTATATCTCAAGTGAATTATGAACTTCAATATCAACAGTCGCACGACAGAAGCGGCGTCTAGAAAAGGGATGGGCTAGAAATGTGAGCATTTCGCTGAAGATCATCCTAAGTTAGGTGAGGTTAAACTCAAACAATGTCAAATTTTTGGCGAATTCAAATAGTCCCACCAGTGAGATGGTGGCTAAGCTATTCAGGCCTTTAAATTAATGTTTTTACAGAAAACTGAAACGAATTATTTGTGGCACAGAACTTGTCCAATAGACCAGTTAGCATTGCCGCTTTGTGCTTCGCTTCGACACGTCTTCGCGTTTTCCGTTCATCGAGCGATGACCAGTGGGATCGGAATACGTTGCCTGTGTCCAGATTAGTTCAACTGATCTTAGGAGCTGGCCTTATCGTCGACTTGTGAGACTAGAAATCTTAGATGGCGTTGTATGCTTGAACTTGTTGGTCTAGTCTTATAGGAGACCCTTTTCTCTCGCGCTAGTTCGCTTCCTCATTTTCCATGAAATCATTTTAAAGAGCAAGTAATTTAGAAGTTTGTAAGATGACCTAAATGAGATTTACTCCGTGCAGGTTCCTTACTGATGTCCATTTTGAAACCGACTGTGAAGATTAGTCTCGTCGTTGCTCAAAACAGTATGAGAAGCTCAGTGACGTCTGACAGGGAAATGAACTTCGAATTTGTGGCCAAAGTCGATCACCGCGATCAGATTGTAATTTGTTCAATTCCATACAAAGACATCTACCTAAGGTTCAACGTAAGCGAACTAGAAGCAGGTATGAATATCTTAGATATTCTCTATTTAAAACTGTGAACTCATCTTACGCCTGAAGGATTTTTTGAAAGTGAGGTTTTTCTTGTTGGCAGCACCAAAACCAGCTCTGCCAAAAGGTTTAGTAAGAGTGTATGCAACTAAACGGTCGCCGAAGGGAAGGTGTTTCCCAGCAGCGTTTGCTTGTGCTCTAGACAACTTTGGCAAATCCCTCTACACCCTTCTGGTGTTATAAATATTTTTCGCCAAAAGCGAATTTCACGAGGGATGGTGGAAAATCTTCCCACAATGAATCATACAGTAGTATCCTGTCGAAAACCATAACAACCAAAATTTGAGAAATATTTATCTTATTGGGATAAACCAATGAATGGAATGGTCGGGTCGAAGGTTTCACCAAAATGCTAATACTGCAATGCAGAAATGATTTTCCTAAAAGTTTCTATTCCAATGCTGGGTTTCAATTTCAAAACCACTACGATAGGTATCTACAAAACATATGAACCCTTATTCAAACTCACCTAAAATATGAACTGGAAGCACTCATAATGGCACGATGTACATTGAAAGAATCATCGGACACCGATATAACTGCATCACAGAGTAGATTGTTGCGCCGCAGCTCATTTAGAGTATTGAGCGCTTGGTCACTCATTGTGGCATTTAGCGTACGCCCGGGAGTACTTAGCACCATAGGATCATCCATATCCCCGTCATCCATGCTATTATCAACATCGGGCATCACGACACCCTCGTCGTGCATATGTTGATTGTTGTTGTTGCCTAGAAAATTATCACGTGCACGATTCATTAGATTTGCCATAATATTTGTGTGAGTGTTTTAGTGGACGTTGTTTATGAACTTATACTTCCGAGTTTGAGAAGGACGCGCAATGCTAAACCAATTTGTGCCGCCACAAGTGAGCTGAGAGGGATTCCAATAAGATTAGGTTTTAATTGTGCAGCGTTTCTCGTCGCACTGGCTGTCTAGTTGTAGTTTTTGCCGTTGCACGTTTAATTGTGGACTAGTTTTTCGGTGGGATGAGACGCCTGCGGCGGCCGGTGGTTTGCAGCTCAAATTGTAGGGTGGTTGCTAGATGGCGCACTGCTTCGTTGCATGCGGTGTAGCGTGCGTTGCAATGCTTTATGATCTTGAAATTTTGAAAATATTCGCAATGACTTTTAAATTATCTCTTTAAGATTTTTTTTTTTTGTATAAGCTTTTCAGAATGTTTTATTTCGTCACTTAAGTTTTTATTTTTTTAATTTAATTTTATTTTATATTTTCTTGTTTATACAACTCTGGGGTTGAATTGTGCCGCTGAATTCTTTCTTCAAATGGATTGGTGGAGTGCACAAGTCGATTGCAGTTGAAATTTTAAAAAAGTTTAACTTCCGTTAAAAGTTAACCGGATGCGTTAGGGACAAAATTAAGCGATGTATTGAAAAAATAAATAAATAAATAATTCTCCGAAAGAAAGGAAAATATTGACGACAAAAATTAATCAAGTATATGTCTACTAAATTGAAACAAAAAACTAAAAAACTCGATGTCAAAGAAAATGCCTACATTTTTTTTTTATAAATCAAGCAAAGTGAAATGTAGCTCAAAATAATAATTTCGATAATAATTTGGGTATAATAATAAATAAGTGTGGACTTTCAATTTAATAACTGCTAACTAGTTTACTATGATTTCCTTTTCTTCTGCATGTACATTAGGGTGCCACAAAAATGCAAGTGAAAAAGTAAAGTTGGAATTTTTATGCTCTCACTCCATAGAGTTTTCCATGTATTTTATATGCAGAAAAAACTAGTTTTCGTAGAAATAGCAATATTTTTCGATAGGAAATAATAATACCCAATTACTTATTTAACCATTTTTTTATAGTAATTATATTTTATAGGTCCGCCAAAGCCCCCACAAAATGCAATGGGGGGATTAATAAAGGATCTTTAGTATTAAAAAATGGTTAATTAAACGATTGGGTGCTGTTACTGGAAGTCTTCTGAATAGAACTGGAGTTTTCCGATCGAAAAATATTGATTTTCAAATTGGAGAAATAGTCAACCAAAAATGGAAAAATTGCAGACAATTTACATTCTCGCATTTTTGTGTCAACAATGGCATAATAAAAAATATTTCATATTTCTTTCCACACTTAGTTTAGAAATCTGATTTCCTCCTCTCTTACTTCTTGAAAAAAAAGCTCTGAATAACCTAAGTTTTAAGCACTATATCTTTTAATACAAACCACAATATAGCTTTAAAAACACGTAAAGTCTTAAACTGTGCAAAACTTGTAAGTTTACGAGGCTTTTATGGGAAAAGTTGTAGATAGGATAGCATAAAACATTTAATAAAACTAATAATTTTTTTGCTGAAAAAAATTAGAAGAAACAATGCACAGTACAATACATTTTACAGTAGGCGTGAATTCGCAGTTTCTCGCCGCTGAAATTATTTCAAAAACGAGTATGACACGCAGTCTTGGTCTTTACCTGCACTAAAAATTGTTCAGCACGATTCCTTGGATTTTTTTAATATGCCCCACAAAATTATGTAGAATTAAAAGTGAAGCATTCTTTTTTAAGTCGGATGGATTTCGTAAAAACATTAAACATTGTGTAATTTCTCCGATTCGCTTAAACATTTTTTTATGGGTTCCTTACATGAAATAAGCTAACACGTATTCGACGATNAAAACATTGTGTAATTTTTCCGATTCGCTTAAAAATTTTTTTATGGGTTCCTTACATGAAATAAGCTAACACGTATTCGACGATTTTTTTTTTCTTCCGAGATATGATCTGTCAAAGTACGAATTTTTTCCTGATTCTTCAAATCGTTATATCCAGGGTTTTGCTCTTCGTAGAGACTTCGTCTTAACGTTATTTTAAAACTAAAGAAACAGGCTTAATATTCCTGTACGTACATATGTATATAAGGTGGGCATGATTGTCCTAAAGCTTACTTAGCTAAACCTAATTCAACTTTTTGAAATTCATTTGCTTAGTGAATACCAGTAAATTAGGGATTTAAAATTACATCATCGTAATTCTTGTTTAATTCGCTATAACAAAAGCAGGTTTAAAAAAATGAGGGTTTGTCAAGAACTATTTTAAAAATATATTTTTTTTTTATGGCGATATGTTTTATTTTGTGAGTATAACTTGGGTTAGTTGGATATTTTGCTATGATTTTTTTTTTTTGAATTTATGATCGCTGTATTAAAAAACTGGATTTTCATTAGGATTAAATGACAAAAATGAGAACCACTGGTGTCATTCGATTTAAAATAATAGTAATTTTTTAAATGGTAGAAAAATTTTCATAATTTTTGTAAACTTAATGCCCAGTGAAAATTCGCCATAATATCACACTTTTAAGAGCCGTTTTTTGCAATGTTAATATCGGCGTGCATTTTTTACATCAAGAAACAAAAAATAAAAAAAAAATGTTTTGAAATAGTAGATTAGAGTTTAGTAGTTTGGACTAAATTTATTCTGAACAATTAGAATAATTTTCTCGTTAAGTTATGAAAAGGAAAGCCATGCATGTGTAGNAAATAAAAAAAAAATGTTTTGAAATAGTAGATTAGAGTTTAGTAGTTTGGACTAAATTTATTCTGAACAATTAGAATAATTTTCTCGTTAAGTTATGAAAAGGAAAGCCATGCTTGTGTAGTTATATACATTAGGCCATACCAACTTACAAGCAAACAAAAAACATTTGTCGCACACCCCCGAGTATAATAAATTTTTGCAAGGCAATTTCGAAAAAAAGAAAATACTTTCATTCGGAAATAACATTTTATTTAAAGAGTTTTACTGGAATAATCAAGACACTTCATAGCAAAAGTTTAATGCTTTTTTGGTGAGCTTTAAACAGAGCTCACACGATTTGTACATTTGTACAGATTAATTCTTGATAAAATATTTTAAGACAGCACCACACTGTGACTGCCGCTTTAGATTACTGACATTGGGGTGGTACGTTAGGGTGATACAAATGACATCGGGTGGGTAAGTACTGGAACGGGTACTTGCGGTCAATGAACATTGGAAAAAAAAAATCGTGTGGTCGAGATATAAACATCAATATATCACACTTTAAAAACGTCCATTCGGCAAAAAAAAAATAGATATTGCCTTCGAATCGAAATACTTCCATGACAAAGCTTTAATTACTTTTTGCGAGCTTCAATTTATTGGCATTACGGTGGCAGGAACTTTGATCTGGTGGGTAGGTACTGGAAGCGGGTACTTGATGTCAATCGTTCCCACGACAGTCGGGTCTACGTAACCGGAACGACCCAGATTTATATCTGGCCAAGGACTGTCACTCCAGCAACACTCCCCCAAAGCCTTTGGGAACTTGTATGCTGCTACAACAACAACAACAACAACTTGATGTCAATGAACATTGAAACAAAATATTGTCTCCTTGTGACACGAAATGCCAAATGTAATGTTTTTTCACGCAAGTTCTTCCATACAAGGTAATTCGACAATTATTTTTTGTATGGAGAAAATGAGCAACACCTTCCACTAAAAAAATTGCCAAAAAGCAACGCGATTTTCTAGCAACTTTAAACTTACACTTTGCTATACTAAATTTGAATGGGCTATAAAACTGCATACTTTGAATTTTTTTAAAAAATCTGAATAAAAAGTTGCAAATCAGTGTGCAAATTTAAAGAATTTTCCTGAGTTTTGCACAAAGTTTAGAGATTTTATTATTACGTTTTCTGGTGTAAAATGAACTATATTTTTGTAAAAAATTATCGAAAATAAATTAGAATAAAAAGCATTGCATATATGGCGAAAAATTCACTGTGCCAATACTTTTGTTCGTCACTGTATGTATGTACATACAGATATGTATGTATATGTTAAATGCTTAAATCTGTTGATGGATCTGCGCAGACTCCATTTAAAGCCGTTGTAGCAGCACAATTCCCTCCACTGTCCGTAGCATTTGTTAAATAAAAGCAGTGGTCCAAGGTGAACGTATACGCAGTACTTATTTAGCAGTCGTTACTTTCAAATACAGTTAAACAATCGCGGTGGGAATACAACCACGGAAAACTTTAAAACAATAAAAGAGTTTAGTACTTTTAACAATGTTACTGTTACGCTTAGGCCTCCTACTCTTACTCTCCATAATTGCTGTTTCTACGAGGGAATCATGGCTAAAGCCTGGTTGTCATAAAGTAGGGAATACGCGCAAGATATCCATACCCGATTGTGTGGAGTTTCGCATTACAACTAACGCTTGCCGTGGCTTCTGTGAGTCATACGCAGTGCCGTCAATACCCTGGGGCCTGGCAGGACCGGGAGTATTTAGACCGGTAAAACCGGTTGTTTCGGTGGGTCAATGCTGTAATATAATGGAATCGGAGGAAGTGAGTGTTTGTGAGGAGCCAGCACATTAATTAAATTTTTAAAAATCGGTAATTTTTTTCTTTTGTTTCATAATTTCAGGTACAAAAACGTGTGCTGTGCATGGGTGGTATGCGTAACATAACTTTTAAATCAGCAGTATCCTGCGCTTGTTATCATTGCAAAAAGGATTAAATATCGCTCTACGCAAAAAATTGAGTGGAAAAAATGTGTTAAAATGTGATTTTTTTTTATAAGTGTAATAAGTTCAAATACACTCTGAGTCATGCCTTGTTGAAGATTATGCATATTAAATAAATATTTAGCATTATGAAAAGAAAATGCTCAACTTTAATGTTAACGGCAGGTTAATTTAATTTTAAAGTGATTAAACAATAATTTATTTATTAAACATTTACATATTAATATGGATCGTTAGAATAACCGTGTTACAATAATCTGATAGGCGTCCTTAAATAAATTTAAAAGTATTTTTTATGATGTTCTTCACACTAAAGTCATTAATTTGCTTCACAATTATTTTAACTTCTACTAGCTTTCTACACAGTCTAAAAATATTTCGTTCTAAAAGTAGAAAATGTGTACTTACATAAAATCCAGTTTGTTGTTGCACAATGAATTTTTATTTGCGTGAAAATGGTTTCAATAAAAATTTGTAAAAAAAAAACTTGAAGGCACTTAATATTTGCAAAACAAAAAACCTCGAGCGCAGCGCATTTCTCACTGCCAGTTCAGAATTTACTTCTCTCATCACTCATTACAACTTCGCGGCTGGTGCTTTTCCATAGCCCACTAATAGTTGTTGCATTTCTAGCAATGCTTCACGCAATGTACACACAAACGTATCCACGTTTGAAGTGTGATTATCACGCCAACAGGTGCATGCCAAGATTATATCTTTTTCGCGTGGATTATAACAACATGCGTAACCATCGTCTGCAGCTGGGCCGTACACCATGAAGCCAAGATTGGGTGTGGCCACTTGTGAAGTAGATACACGAAAGACTAAACTCTTTACATAACCAGGCGAGTTAAAGAATTCTGGTATTGGTTTATTATTCTCAATAGCCATGAGTTTTAATCCCAACAAATGTCGATCAACACCTCTGCCTTGTAATGCTGCTGTCGTGTATGCACGATGTGCATTTATAGCGGTACGCAATAGCTCGACACGTTCCTCTGGCTCAACGCAAGCGTCTTGCATTGCTTTGGCGAATGCCAATGATTCATTGGAACACGAGCGTATGGTCTCTGTGCGTCCGTATATATAAATACGCAAATGTGCAGACTCATACTGAGCGGCTGGTACTTTATGTAGCCTAGGGAGATAAAAGGAAACAATTGACGTATAGAGCGGATTGTAGTCATGCAAATTTAATGTAATATATTTACTTGTAGTAAGCATATTGTAGTGCAATTTGTATGTAGCTATCTGGGCTGAGCTTTTGTTTCTTCAAGAAACCCTTGCCATAGTCCTTGAAATGCAAAACATTTACGTGCAAATTTTCCGCCAATTCATNAATTGTGTGGAACTTTTGTACAAAGTTTGAAATGTAGACTTATATAGTTTTTGTTTGATAATGAGCTGCATGTTTATAAAAAAAAAAATTATAAACATTAAACAAGCAAAAGAAAAATATCAAAATGTGGTTAAAATGTCATGCCACTATTTTTTTGAACATTCTATTTATGTATGTATATGTACTCACAAATTGTTGGTTACATAGTCGGTGATGTTGGCAATTGGTTGACCTTCAGCCGGTGAGTGTTCATAACAAAATCCGCTCATGCCATTGCGATTCAGTATTAGCTACAAAAAAATATGAATGATAAACTCACTTTCGTACACTTTAAATTTAACAGCTAACTTGTATTGTTTTATCCATCCAACGATTGGCGCTATTTAACTTTACTCCACCGCCATGTATTAACTGGCCACTTAACTCATTGAAAAATTGGTCCTCTGTAACATCGAAACACTCATCCAAAGATACTGTAAATAAGGCACTTTGTATAGTTTTCACCAGTTCCTTGTTACCATCGATTTTCAGGAGCTCTTCATAAGCTTGCGCCCAATTATCGCGGTTATCAGTGGATAAAATGCCAATTTCCACACCCTTTTTAGCTTCAGCTTCCATAATGGTCTTGAATTGTTTCACCAATATATCCGGATGCAAGGCCACGCCATTATTATTGTAGATTTGTACTTTGTAAAACTGTAAGATATTAAAAATATTAAAAAAAAAAATAAAAATTATGCAGCATCTTTGACTATATCTGAACATACATGATTTTTGTACAACACCACTACATGCAGTGATTTAGGATTGTATTCCAGTGCATCTTCGACCTTCTGTGGTATACGACACGTGCCATAAACTTTGCCGAATTGCGAATTGTCTAGCTCATACTTGCCCATTTTCAAAACAGGAATTTCACCGGCATCAATAATTTGCTTATAGCGTGCCATGCTATAAACAACCTTGCCGGCATAATTTAGATAGTCTTCATCATTTTCAAAACGTTGTGGTGGAAATGTCATGCCTGGGCTAACAAAAACGGTAACTGGCGCGCGGTATTGCAGATAAGCTGCACGTAACCAGCGCTTAGCTAACCAATTTTCTTCGCATATCGCTGCCTTTTCTAACAGCTTTTGCAATTCAGCGCCTTCACCGGCCTCAAACTTCTTGATTGCTTCCTTAGTTTCAACAAGTTCGCAAGCATTGATCACCGGCTCGACGGTTTTTAAAAATGTTTCCAAGGTATCTTTTAGTGGAAATGCTGGATAACGTAGCAGATTTTGTTTTTGTGGGCCTTCAGAAATGGAGTAAAAACGGGCGTCGGGTAAACTTTTTTGGGCGGCAGCAGCAATACTGGGCAGCGGAGTCTTCAACGACGACGCCAATACGGTTTTAGTCTAAATGGAGCGGGAGAAGTACGTACAATATAATTTGCTTAATGTTCATTTTCTCTAATTTTTATTTAAATCGTACTTACTAAATTCATAGCGACACGTCGCGCGATAAACTGCATTTTGTTAACTTGGTCGGTGGTAAATTGTTGTGCCCAGTCCGGATTGCTCTTGAAGCTGTAACATAAAAATATACAAATCAAATACAAATCATATACAAATATACAAAAAATATTTTCTATAGTTGTCAAGATATATTTTTTTACTTTCCCTTTCCAACTAGGTATTTAAAAGTAATGAAATATTCACCTTTGCCTTTTGTGCATAATCACAGGTGTACCGGAGAGTTAATAGAATTGAGATTAACAACTAAAATGTGTTAGAACGTACGCGAATTAAACACTTTTATGATAAGAATGGTTAAATTTAATGAAAGTGGCGTACCACGTAGTCAAAACCTTTAAACTAGTTTGTGTACGCTGCTTGGTAGCAGTGGTTGAGCAAACACTTTTCGTCGCTTCACAAACTCGTCTGAATTTCAAAAACAAAACTTGTTTACGTGAATGAGAGGTTTGGCCACTGGTGGAGTTAATTTATTTAATTTTTGTTCTTTCTGTTCCATGCACAATTTACCACAAACATACATACATATCTCTTATCAATGAAGAAGTAAATGAGCGGAATCCTCTAATATGAAAACAATGCAACTGGACTTTTACCTAATCAACTGAGCGCAATAAATTTTTTATTTGTTTATGGTTTTCTACAGATTGGCAAATGAGCATATAAACAAAAAAAGCAAAAGCAAAACGAAAACGAAAACAATTAACAATCAGCTGTTCTGCCGCTTATGATTACCTTTTGTTAACTAATGCACGCAAATGCTAAAATTGCATTTTAACCATCAGACGGTCTTATTACGAAAACGTTTGTATATTTTTCCACTTTCGTAACACCACTTTATTACAATTTTTTATAAAATTTCCTCAACTCTCCTATTTTTAATTCGCAATTAATTTTCCAAGAAATTGTGCCCTCTTTTAATTTATTTGAAAAAAAATGAACACTTGTTGCTTCAAGGGCGCCATCTGGTGTTAAATAATTGCGGGTTGCCAAACTTTGTTTATTGGTGTAAGTCTATGCTATGTTGTGGAAGTATAGCGCTAAAAACAGTTATTTTGAAAAACCATAAAAATCCTTATGAAGTCGCGCAAGAGTTTTGCTTTTTGCGTAGTGAGCGGTGTATGTGGGGCCCACGAACAAGAACATGGTGCTGTTAGGACCGTTTCCGTTTGCTGGGCAAATGCTGCCCTATGGAATTTCAGTCTATTGCACAATCAAACCGAAGCTAAAATAAGATAAAGCGGTAAAGCAGAAAACTTCCTTGTTTTTGGGAAACAGTGTGTTTGATAACAAAAACAGTATCTACTGAGTTTGTAGCATCTTCAAGTCAGAAAAGAAGAACTCTAAGGGCTTTACTTCCCATGGCATTTGGAGACCTTCGGAGAAGCCCTCCCTGATGAATTGTTTTTTTTCCAAGTACCAAACCGACAGAAACGCCGTTCGCGTCTACGTAACTTGATCATTTCAGATTTATTTTTAGCCAAGGACAGTAACTATTTAGATAGAGCGGCATTTCAAAAAACTGTTTGGATAGAATTTTTTATGTTGCCACTGGATCGATAAAAGCCTTCGCACCTGCAGTTCTAAAGCCGTTTCTAGGATGGAGTCCTCTCCATATCCTTTATTCCAGAAACATCACCCACGTTAGGATCGGTGAAGATTGGGTAGACGGACTCCCTGTCCTAGATCCCAGATACATTGGTATACGGAAGGATGGAAAACAGAGCAGACGCAGGTGTATATGGACTCCGCACCGAACTGTCCTTATGGGTAGAAGAGCTACGGTGTGCCAGGCTGAAGTTTTAGCCAAACCTGCGCCAAATAAAACTTTAAGAAAAGGGTTTTAAGGGGCAGCCAAGCAGCCACCGGGCCCACTCTAACAGGATGATGCAATGAAAACAAACTTATTACAGACTTCTTTAGCGCTATTCAAACTCTGGCAGAAAAAGTACAATAAGTATGTGCTGGGTTTCGGGCTTTTACGGGAGCGAATGTAATGTAGTCGCTGATGAGTTGGCACAAGAAGGAGCCTTAACCACCTTTTTAGGACCGAAACCAGTCTGTGGTGTCAGTTGGTTCTCTTCGAGTCATAATTACTGCGTGGGTACATTCTGAACCCAGTACGTACTTGGAGGCAGAGGTGGCCAGAAACAGGCCAGACTCTTTGGCTACCCTTTCATTGGGATCGGTTTTTGTTCAACTACCCGTAAATAGAAATGATATCAGGCTACTCTCCGGACACCTAGCGGGCCACAACCAACTACAATTTCATTTGCACCGAATAGGTGTTATTGGAGAGTCGGAATGCCGGTTCCGCCCTGAAGACGAGGAAGCTTCCGAATACATTCTTTGTGACTGTCTTTGGCTAAACAAATATTTATTTATTTCAAAGCTGGAATGGTCAAACTCTTAAAAATAAGGAATTTCGACTACCAATGCCATTTGAGGATTCGTTAGGGAAGCCAAGGGTGTCCCTGGGATTAGGGAGCGAAAATTAACGACACGTGACAAATTCTAATATCTCGAGAACGTGACCAACTAGCGAAAACAAATTCAATAAGTTTCACATGACCTTCAAAGTCAGGGTGTTTTAATTATTTTTTTTTTAATTTTTTCACTTGAAAACAGTATGCAGTGAACTTTTCAAAAATTCATTACATGCTCTTTTTAGGTAAAAAACAACAACAAAAAATTAAAAAGGTCATTTTGAAGGCCAAGGTAGTTTTTTATTCAATGTGACCTTCAACATGATCTTCAAAAGTAAAATTTTGCATTTTTTATATTATTTTATGCCTAAAAAAAATTAACTCTTTAAATGCAAAATGGTTTCTTTCTCTATCACAAAAGTCGTAGAACGCTATTGAATTTTTTTCGCCTACTCCTCTCGTTCCCGAGATATTAGAATTGGTCACGAAAAAACTTCAATTTCCACNCAACAACAACAAAAAATTAAAACGGTCATTTTGAAGGCCAAGGTAGTTTTTTATTCAATGTGATCTTTAAAAGTAAAATTTTGCATTTTTTATATTTTTTTTTGCCTAAAAAAAATTAACTCTTTAAATGCAAAATGGTTTCTTTCTCTATCACAAAAGTCGTAGAACGCTATTGAATTTTTTTCGCCTACTCATCTCGTTCCCGAGATATTAGAATTGGTCACGAAAAAACTTCAATTTCCACATTCTGCGGCCCTTAATGTAGATATACAATTAAAACAAATATATGTAATTATGAAATTTCAAACATTTATTTAAAATTATGTATATTCTACCAACCATATTTGTGTATGCACATGTATGTTTATGTATAATAATCTCTATTTTTACCCTCTCACATCCATTTGCACATGCGATTACAACGTCTAAGACAATGAGAGGGTTGTGTATAATGTCTAAAATGCATTTTACAAATACATCATAATAAATATGGTAAAATAATGCATTCGAGTATAAAAAATCGTAATAATGATGTTAATATGCGTAAAAAATAGACATTGATATACCCAATAAACCGCGGCCTTTTTACTTTGCAATGGAAAACACTTAAACTAAAAGTGCCATATTTCTTGGAAAAATTAATAAAAGGAGGAACGAAATTCACACATGTAAAATGAAATAGAAAAGAGAGAAAATCATTATTAATATTATTCTAAATTCTACTACAAATCACAGCGCGAATCGTTGACAAAAAATATGCCTTCTTAATTTACATAAATTTTTTCAAACGCATTTTGTTTTTTTTTGAATGATGATTTTCAATTGAACTTCATGCTTATTTAAAATTTTGCGCATTTTCAATTCAAAACGCATTTTTTGTTTGTTATTACTTTTTTTCACATAGTATACTTGTGTAAATTCAAAGAGGACGTGTATAATGAGTATAAAAATATAGATATGCTACATATATGTATGTACATATGCACTTATATATAGTGGTATGAATTTGGTTTTTGTGCACCTCATGGAGGTGGTACGACTTAAAAATAAATTCTTTCTTTGCAGCGCATGCGTATACATACATACATGCGTTGCTGCTTACTTTCGAGTAACTGATTTTTCTTGTTTGTCCAAATCGTATACAAGCTCTTGCAAGCAATGCATGCATTTATACCACGTATTCGTAATACAAAAGTCTGCTATGCTTTGTTTTTCATTCTATAAATATAAACATACTAACTAAAACTATGAGGCGTAATGAAAAAATTAATATTTTACAATAATTTAGAAAAAAAATTATAGCCTTAATGCGCCTAATTACTACTACTACTACATTTATTACAATAAACAGTTATGCAGGTATGTAGTTATTATGAATATCAAAAGGTACACTTAGAAAAAAATGTAAAAATAATGAACTAAACCGTTAAACCCAAAAAATGCGTATGTATGTGTTACAACGGTTGTACGCTTAATATGTACGCCTACAACGTCGTCATGTGTGTGTGTGTGTTCTTAATTCAAACTGAGTTTAAACAGTGTAGATGCTTTCTGTTTTGGCACTTCGACTGCTACTTGCACCTGCGCTGCTGCTGCTGCTGCTGCTGCTGCCGTGATTATGTTGTTGCGCAACGTTATTTATACTGTTGGGTGTTTTGTTGTTGTCAGCTGTTGCTGCTACCTCTGCGGTATGTGCCGGCTTGGCATCTGTGCTAAGGGCAGTGTTTCTGTGCTGAGTTTGATTACTATCAATTATATCGATGTTAATTGAAGTCTGTAATGAAAAATAAAAATTGTAATTAGAATTTCATTAATGCTGTGTGGTAACCTTGATTTTCTTACTATGTATGTATATGAAGATGGTATGCGATGATGAAAATATGCTTTAATGATAAAATGCATCCCTAAAAGAAAAATTCGACGGCTCGTAGCACAAATTCTCGAAGTTTTTATACTCGTTAACTGGTATAGACTTGCATTTTTCAAATGTTCGACTGCTATATGAGCCGTTTATTTTGAAAATGGCATAAGTCATTTCATGTTTGGGAAAAATGACTGTTGATTTAACATTTGTCCACTGAAAAACTTTAAATGTTTTATAGAGTTCATGATCAGTGGTCAAAATTTTATTTTGACAAAAAATTCGTGATCAGTGTGTCTTAAAACCTATAAAGTTACAGTTCCAAAAAATATTTTTTTAATCTTTACAAAAATTTACAGTTCATTTGTATTTTGACAAAAAATTCGTGATCAGTGTGTCTCAAAACTTTGAAAGTTACAGTTTAAAAAATACTTTCTTAAACTTTAGAAAAATTTACAGTACATTTGACAGCTGTCAACTGTCAAAATTTNCATCTGTGCTAAGGGCAGTGTTTCTGTGCTGAGTTTGATTACTATCAATTATATCGATGTTAATTGAAGTCTGTAATGAAAAATAAAAATTGTAATTAGAATTTCATTAATGCTGTGTGGTAACCTTGATTTTCTTACTATGTATGTATATGAAGATGGTATGCGATGATGAAAATATGCTTTAATGATAAAATGCATCCCTAAAAGAAAAATTCGACGGCTCGTAGCACAAATTCTCGAAGTTTTTATACTCGTTAACTGGTATAGACTTGCATTTTTCAAATGTTCGACTGCTATATGAGCCG